GTCGTAAACAACATCAACTCTACTGGTATTTCTTTGGTTGAGTGTCATTTCAATCTTAGTCATTTGATGTTTCCCAAATTCTTCAAAATATTCCATCTTAGAAACTACTGCGTTTGGAGTGCTATGTATTAGAGCCATTCCATAAAAAATGTTGACTTGATTTTGAAGTTGGTCTAAGGTTTGCATAGACTCGGTGCAATGAGAATCACTTTCTATAAAATTGATTAGTTCTGACTTAATACTTTTTTTTTACTGTCCATTTTCAAGAGCTAAGCTGGGAGGGTATGGCATCAACTCGTGCTTCATTACTTCATCCAAACTTAATTTTCTTTGAAAGGCCAAAAAAATCGTCTTGGCAATGCTATCATCTAGTGTTGTTGTTCTCTTCTTCTTCTTGTTTTCTTCTGTAGACATGGAATTAAATGAAAAAGTCTTATTGTGATGTATTGGGGCAAACAATCCTTTGTTCTTTTGATCCATTCTTTCAGTTTTAAAAGATGTATATTTATCTTGAGCTAGTATATCCATACTAAGAAGGAACGAGGCGGCTGTATCTGATGGTGACAGTGTCCCACTAACTATGTTTCTCAGTGGAGTATTTGAGTCTGCAAAAGGGTTGTCTGAAGACGGGATCAGATTCCAGATCCCGAAACGTTGTGTATTGTTTTTTACTTTCGTGATGGAAAATGTCCGCAATAAACCTTTGAACAACAGGGTTGTCATGTTGCAAAAAGAAGTTTATCACAGTTTGCACGTCTTGTTCATCTTTTTCGATGCGACTTTCATTCCACTCTTTGTGCGTCGGCTGAACGTCCCCTGTTGGGTCTTGGGCTAGGTCACAAAAGTTGAGGAGTGTCGTTGTAACATCTGCTTTGTGATGGTAAAGAAGACACCATCTCTGTACAGCATGTTCATTTGAGGACAATCCAATCAAACCACCTTGAATCTTGGATGAGCGGATGAGAGATTGTTCTAGAGCCTGGTCTGCTGCAACACTATTGAATTTTCCAGGCGTTTTTTTACCGAGAAATTTCCTTGTTGAAAAGCATTTTCTAACTCTACGGGAAGGTCAGACATGTCTTCTAAATACATAACACATCCTCGAACGTAGTTATAGTGGTTAAATAGTAGGCAGTACGGAATCATTCTTTTCACTATACGTTAATATGCAGATTCCAGTTCCCTTCTCTATCTGCTTTGACGCAATCCAATAGAAGCTCAACCATATCACAATATTGATCCCAGTACTTGAATGTTTCGTTTTTGGCTGCTTTTTCGTTTCTAAAGTTATTAAAACTCTCAAAGAATTGGCTGTGTTCTTCCTCTATAAGCTCGAAAACTGCTGAAGCTTCTTCCTTGAAGCCCATTGTATATGTTTGCAACTTCTTTACAAGATCTTTTGGAAGCTCTTTACCTTCTAATTATATGCGTTCTTCTAAGAACTCCTTGAACTGTAGTCTTCTGCATGCTTCGTACATAATCTTGTGTACTTGTATTCCTCTATTATAATGAATAGCATGCAATACAGACTTTATTGTGTTTTCGCCATACATTCCACTTTCTATAACAATGTCTACAAAGCCTGAATCCTGTAAATACTGACCTATTATTGATAGAACATTTTTGGCCAAGTGAAAGGTTCCTATTCTAAGGAAAAGTCTTTCAAACCCAGTTGTTAGCAGTTGAATTAATTTTGCCAGTAAATAAACTGCCATGTCACAACTTAGAACTGCATACTTCTGGCCTAGTTGATAATTTATTCTTAAAAAGTTAGGTACTCATAACAGTGTACACAGCATCGCTAGTAGTTGGTGGTGCTGGAAATATAGCGCAAAATCCAATTTTTTTACCGGCATGTCAGATTTTGAAACAGTTTGGTTAAAAGGGGTCCAATCTGGCGCTAAAGCTTGTTTAGGTAACAAAATATTGTCTTTGGACTCCAGATCGAGCCGTGTAAGTACCCATATCAAATCACCGCTATATTTGTGACATCATGTTTAGTGTCAGTCGGTTGACTAACATGGTCAACCGAAAAATGGCTTTTTTTTTCTTTTTTTTTGGGCTTTGGAAAATGATCGGGGTTTCTTTTTATGAGGGGCCCTTTTTTCAACACTTGACATTCAAGTAATGCGTTTTCTGGAACTTTCAATCCAGTTTCAGGCACAGGAATCTTTTCTCCCTTAAATTGGCGCATACCTTCAATACCTGCAGGTTGATAAAGTACCATTGCTGTGACGTGTGTGGTTGATTTTCCATCAAACGTATCTTCCTTAAAATCATCGTTATCTATAGCGCCATGAATAAGGACACTAGGATCACGAACAATGTTTGAGGGTACATCAACTTCATTACTTGTTACAATGATATGCGTCAAAACTTGGTTGTTTAGCTTGGTCAGTATTTTGTAACTTATGCAGTGCCCTAGCCTGATCAACAAACTTGGAATAAACTTCGATCTCGTGTAGTGGTGAATACATTGCGCCAAAGCTACATGCTTTGGAGTTAAGTCTCGTTCAATAATTAAATTATGTAAATCCATGTACACTGAAATACATTTATGTTTCAGGTTATCTGTAATTTTTTTGTCTTTTCCTACAACATGGCTAAGAAACTATTCCCAGGCTGGCGTAAACTTAAATCCATCAAAAGCACTACTAATGGCCGAGTCAGTACATAAAAACCTGTTAAAGTTAAACGTATTTTGTTTTGCTTCATTTCGTAATGCCTCGGTGTTGATGCAATTTTCCAATAAATATCTAATATGCTCAACCAATTCGTTTGGCTTAAAACATGTTTTGAACACAACGGATGACTTTGACCTATCGGTTGAATGTGAAAAAAGAAGAGAATCCCCATAATGTGAAACCAACAAGTTTTTGTTACTCTGTTATCAATTTCCAGTTCACCACAGTTACTTAGTTGGCGTAACCGCTCAGTAAGGAAGCTAACTTCAAAACACTTTTCATTTAAAGCTTCGTCGATTTCCGAAATAAGTTCAGAAAAAGCATTGCTTAATCTGTCATGATTTTCATGATCAGATGCCCTCTTTCCTCTCTCATAACCATATTCAAGAAAACATTTTTTGTGGTACAGCACGTCTGCCGCAAAAATATCATTAACATCTCTGCAAGTACTTAATCTTACAAATACTTCGTCTTGCCTTTCTTTGCATAATGCTAATAGCTTTTTAGCTGGGTCTACCTCACTCAATCTAAAAGTGGCTGTTTCACCTTTCTTTTTAGCTCGCTGGCAAAATATACATTTTAAAAAGGTACATTTTGGTATACCACTTCTAGTGACTAATGTGTTAGAAGTGCATGGTACGTCTTTATTTTTACTGTCAAAACTTTCATCGTTTTTTTTACTAACTGTCAATCGTTTTTCGCACCTTTCTAAATTTGTTTTGCTGATATAGGAACAGTAGCAGTTTCTGTGCCATTTTAGCAACTCCTTAGTTTCATCGTTTATCAAAGAGTTTACATTATCTTGTCTGCGATTACTTGCTTCCCTTACTTTCTCTAAAGACGATTGCTTAAAATTCTCAATAAACGTACCGTCGTCTTTTTCTTGGCAAAATAGACACAAGCCATAATCAAATGTCTTTGTCTTTTTTTTTACATTTAATTAAACGCCATTTTCATACCCCATAGTGTAGCAATTTAATAAAAACTGATTATGTTTTCTGTAAGACGTAAATTTCCATACTTCTGCAAAGCAACTCAAATTACATGAAATATTTGGAGTTAGTTACGTTCATGCAATTATGTAGTTGTAGTCAAACGTATACTTGATTAAAATACTGTATGGACAACAGACCTTGGCATTAATAAATGGAACCAGCCACAAATCACAAACACAATACACAAATCACAATATTCATTTCTAACTCCCTCACTAATAAATGGTTAACACTAAAATAATAAACCATCCAAACACGTCTAATCACAACTGAAGACCGTTTAGTGTTTCCTTCGGACACAATAATGAGACAACAATCAAAATTATTTCACGTTAGAATACGAACGGCTGGGTCACGACAGCTGACGCGCGGTAAGCGTGCCTCATTATTGCTATTAATTTCCAGCGTACACTAATATTACAGTACTGAAATCAACTTAGCTCTGTTGTTTTTGCACAGATTTCTTTAAACTTGGTGTTGTTGTACTACTTGTTAGTTTTTCTAACCATAAATATGCTATAAACAAGCGCAATATTTCCGATATTTCATTTTAAAGTATTTTTAAATTTTAATTTTTTCAATAAATGTTGATTAGCGCCTAAAGTATAAGAGATAGAAGAAAGGTTGTAATAACCTTTTTGAAAGACAATATAATTAGGCGTAGATAGACGCTTAAACTACCTTTCTATCATTAACCGTTTCAGAGTTAGACGCGGAAACGTAAACGACTGACGAGCGCAACTTCCCCCCCTCCCCATGAGTTATGACCACCCTAGAAATGCATAATCATCGATTTTTTTCATCTACTAGATGTCCCCAACAATAATCAAAAGTCAAACTTTGTCAGACTTTCAGTGCATACTCAACCCGTTTAGCGCCTGGACTAAATATGTTACAGCCTATGTGTCTGGTGGAGAGAACAGTGATCTACTGTTGGGTGACAGCGGTGTTGTTTGTCATCATCGGACCTCCACCACCTCTCCTACTGAGAGTCATCAGATCATCATACAGGTGTATGATCTTGGTATATGTGTTACAGCCTATGTGTCTGGTGGAGAGAACAGTGATCTACTGTTGGGTGACAGCGGTGTTGTTAGTCATCATCGGACCTCCACCACCTCTCCTACTGAGAGTCATCAGATCATCATACAGGTGTATGATCTTGGTATATGTGTTACAGCCTATGTGTCTGGTGGAGAGAACAGTGATCTACTGTTGGGTGACAGCGGTGTTGTTAGTCATCATCGGACCTCCACCACCTCTCCTACTGAGAGTCATCAGATCATCATACAGGTGTATGATCTTGGTATATGTGTTACAGCCTATGTGTCTGGTGGAGAGAACAGTGATCTACTGTTGGGTGACAGCGTTGTTGTTAGTCATCATCGGACCTCCACCACCTCTCCTACTGAGAGTCATCAGATCATCATACAGGTGTATGATCTTGGTATATATGTTACAGCCTATGTGTCTGGTGGAGAGAACAGTGATCTACTGTTGGGTGACAGCGTTGTTGTTAGTCATCATCGGACCTCCACCACCTCTCCTACTGAGAGTCATCAGATCATCATACAGGTGTCTGATCTTGATTTAGACAGCAGCAAAGGTATGGACTTTGTTTACTTAAGTTAACTATTAAATTTGTTTTGTAACTATCTAATTGTATATTATCTACTTTTCAGTGTAATCTAAAGTGTTTAAGAAATTCAAACCGTCTAAAAACTAGGTTATTTAGTTTTGTTCGTGATAATTGTTATTACAAGATTAGGGACTTTTTTTTAAATAGTTGAGTTATTAGTAGTTTTAAGAAGGTTGATAGAGAGAAAAGTATACATATTTCTACTAGCTGGCTTCGTATTTTAGTTTCAAAATGTAGTGATGTATAATATTGGTTAGTTAAATGCAGTTCTGCAGGTCAACTGTATTGAACTCATTACATGTTCATCTTATCTTATTTTGTACATATAACACATTTTATTAAATTTCTTTATGTTTTTATACAAATTTTATTATATTATTCTAGTTATTAATTGCTCTATTTTATTTAAATTGAAACTTTTGGTTTTAAAATAATTTTATCTGTATTTTTAATTTTGATACAGTAGAACCTCTTTAATCCGAACTAATTGGGACCGGGGGTAGTTCGGACTATTGAATAGTTCGGATTACAGAACATATTGTTGTTTTTACATAACAATAGTTAGGGAAAAGTTAATAATGCGTTATAAAGTAAATAACAGTGTTTATTTAATACAGTAGTAAACATAGGGAATAAACAGTACTGTACATTACAATTGAAATAATTACGGCGTGTATATCAATAAATACAGTATACAATAAAGAACTACTGTACTGTGTACCTAGAGAGTACAGCATTGAGGCGTTCGGATTAGTGGACGTTCGGAGTACAGGGGTTCGGATTAAAGAGGTTCTACTGTATTTTCATGCATAAACTTTCATATTGCACTGCTTGTTTTAATTTATTTGATCTGGAAAGCTATTAATATTGATGGTATGTTGTTATGCCCAGTGGCGGCGATAGGGGGCCCGCGGTGCGGGGGGGCCCACGAGCTAGGGGGGCCCGTAAGCCTTGACCGGGATTTTCGGTAAATTTTACCGGCACACGGGCCCGCGATAGTGTGACAGGCTCAGCCACTCCACACGGGTCCCCTATCATAACAATATTTATATGAGAATTAAAATAGGCTACGTTTTTTTATGAAGAAAATTTGTTCAAACCTATAGTTCAGGTAGTTTACAACAACTAAACTAACACTATTACTGTACTTGACCGATTGATATAAATTATCTACCAAACTAAGTAAAAGAATTGTCATCAGTCATGCGGGTTGCATTAACTGTCCTCGTGGATTGTGTGAAGGCGCAGTCAAAATTGGTTGCATAATAATAGGGCCGTTTTTATAACCAATGTGGCCTCTGTCATCGTCACCCGCGGGGAAATGTTCTCGTCGATATCCGCAATCGCGGCAAAAGCGTAGGCCTAATCTTTCAATTTCGTGAGCGTGATCCTCACGGATATAAAAGATTTTACTTTTAATTGTGCATTATTGTATTGAATACTGAGAAAATCGGCTCGAGCTTGATTTTCTGACTTTGTGCTTGATCTCTCAATCTTGTAGTCCAGGTTCTGCTCGGCTCGAAAATCGACATTATAGGCCTATTAAAAAAATCAACCGTTTCCAAAGCAACCCGATCTTGAACGCACTAAAAATGTTACTAAGGGCCTCAGGCCAAATCAGATCGGTTCAAAATCGGGTTGTTTTGGAAACGGTTGATTTTTATAATAGGCCTATAATGTCGATTTTCGAGCCGAGCAGAGCCTGGACTACAATCAATCAATCAAATATTCTTTATTCATGTTTAGACAATATGTCTTAAATAGCGTCATTAAACTAACATAAAGAAAAAATTATAAACTAAATAATTAAAGTAATTCATTACAAAGGATCTATATAGTAAAACTAAAAAAATGAGTGTTATTACTTAAACAAATTATAAAATCGATTACGTCAGAGTAAAACTAGTTAGTATCTGGAATTCAAATGAACGTTTCAAAATTACTATTTAAAAATTCGTTGATAGAATAAAATGGGTTTCTTATCAATAAGCCTTTTAGTTGGCTTTTGAATCTGTTTATATTATTTTCCTTTTTAAGTGAAATGGGTAATTTTTGAAGAAATTTTAACCCTGTATATGAAGGTTTTTTGGTGTAGAATTCTAAATTATGTCTAGGAAGGTTAATTTGAAAGCGTGTGTTATATTTACTTGCAGAGGATAATAAATGAAATTGTTTTGCAAAAACAATTGTCTCATAAATATACAAACTGTAAACTGTTAACACACCCAATTCAGGAAAGATATTTTTAACTGAATCTGTTCTTTTTAATTTCATGATCACTCTAATAGCTTTTTCCTGTTTTATAAGTATTCTATCCAAATTTTCCTTAGTTGTTGCTCCGTAAATGGCGATTCCATAAGATATGTGGGAATGAAATAAAGAATAATAGATTATCATAAGAGTTTCCAAGCTGCAAACCTTGGACATCAGCCGCAAGGCATGAACGCCAGATGATAATTTATTTACTACATAGTTTATGTGATTATCCCAAGATAGATTTTCATCAATGACCAGTCCCAGAAACTTTGTTTGGTTTACCTGATCAATTTTGTCTGTTTTTATAAAAATATTAGGTTCAAATGCTGTTTTTGACTGTTTAGTTGAAAAGGATATTAGATTTGATTTTGTTGTGCTGATAAGCAGATTTCTTTCATCTAAAAACTTTTTTATAGAGAGAAGACTCCTGTTTGAGGATTTTTCAATAGTTGAATTGGATTTTCCTGAAAACAAAACATTAGAGTCATCGGCATACAGACACATAGATCCATCACTGACCGGGATCATCTCTGGCAACCCCTTAATGTAACAGAGGAACAAAAGAGGCCCCAAGATCGATCCCTGGGGTACTCTATATCGTAGTGTCTGCCGCTGAGATCTAAACTTTTCAATATATTTAGTATTCTTTTGCTCTATTATGTAGTCCACTTCAACAAACTGTTCTCTGTTTTCTAAATATGAAGTGAACCACTGTAATTCTTTTCCAATTATTCCTAATTCATTTAAGATATTTAATAGTTTACAATGTGAAACACTGTCAAAAGCTCTACTAAGGTCTAAAAATATCCCAACTACTTTATTACCATTATCTACTGAATTTATTATTGATTCAATAAAATCTATTCCAGCTGTTATTGTAGATTTTCCTGGTCTAAAACCGTGTTGCTCCTTATCAAACCCTCGATTCGTTTCAAGGTAATTAAAGAGCTGAATATAAACAACTCGTTCAAAAATTTTTGAAAAAACCGGTAAAAGAGATATTGGGCGATAGCATGATGGGTCTGCGGCGTTTCCTTTTTTGAATATGGGAATAACCTTGGCTAATTTTAATTTGGATGGAAAAATTCCTGAAATCAGAGAATAATTTATTACATGTGTTAACAAGCTTGAGAGATCAAGCACAAAGTCAGAAAATCAAGCTCGAGCCGGTTTCTCAGTATTCAATACAATAATGCACAATTAAAAGTAAAAGCTTTTATATCCGTGAGGATCACGCTCACAAAATTGAAAGATTAGGCCTACGCTTTTGCCGCGATCGCGGATATCGACGAGAACATTTCCCCGCGGTTGACGATGACGATGTCTCCGCAGCCGCAGATGTTCAATATTTTACCGTGATTGCGGAAGACGATAATGACGTTTCTCTTTTAGCGAGAGATATATCTAGGATTTAGCCTCGATTACGGTAAATGATTTATTAAAATTCATTGTTGTAGCCCCGGAACTGTAATATATAAAATATCTGGTTTTACAATACCTTTATCAGTTCCAAAAGTAACTTTCGTCAACGTGTGTTACAACATGTTTCGGCGAGCTGCCATTGTCAAACACTTCAATACAGGAAGATGTAGATCCGCTTGAATAGCTTCGTTACAACACATTACACGACACAACATTTTTACAAGACACGTACGACATAAAAACAAAAATAAATACTTGTAATTTCATAGGCCTATCACGAATATGCAACATTGCCGGTACACGAGCGGGAACAGACTGTCGGTGGAGGGTTCAAGTCAGCGCTATCTGGTTGAATTATCTTCGTTATCTGTTGTGGTCAGCTGATCAGATTTGTTTCCTTGTTGCAGTAGCGTGTTAAATCTGTCTGTGTGTTAGGCCATCTGTTTGGGTATAAAATTTATCTTTAAAACAAAAATATCTTAAACAAAAATATCTTAAACAAAAGTATCTTATTTCAGATACGTTGATGACACTCTAGTAGTGTTCAACGGCAATGCCAGGCAATTAGAACTACTCCAAAACTACTTGAACAGCATCGCACCAATTGAAATTCACACTTGAGGTAGAAAAATCAAACAAGATAAACTTTTTAGATTTAACATTAGAAAAAACTGAAGACAAAAAATTATCATACAACATCTATCGCAAACCTACTACTTCAACACAAACGATTCATGCAACTTCCTACCACCCTTACTCACAAAAAATAGCTGCTTACAATAGTATGATTCACAGATTGTTAAATGTCCCTCTAAATACTGAGAATTACAAGATAGAATTGGAAACTATCAAATTTATTGCCGCTTCAAATGGATACCAAGATGGTTTAATTGATAAACTCATCAACAACCAGCTCAAACGGAAAAACGAAGCAACACCCCGTCAGCCTGATAAAAAATACGTCTGTGTTGAATTCAATGAAAACATCCAGTACAACCTCAAGAGACATCTAAAACACAACAACATCACCTTATCTTTTAGAACAAGTAACAAAGTAAATAATATCTTAAAGGACAATAGCCATAACAACAAAACCGATAGATCCAGTTCAACAGGAATTTACAAAATAAATTGTGCCGAATGCCCGAGCTTTTACATTGGACAAACGGGTCGAGCATTTAAAACCCGCTATAAAGAACACCGCCCAGACCCGAGAACAGACACACAAAAATCAACATTTGCCCAACACCTTATTGACTGTAATCACGATATGAATGACATTAACACCG